TAGGAACGATTTTAGGTAATCGATTCGTCGCACGCGGCTGTCGCGGACCATTTTCCTCGTTATAACAGTTCTAGCGTTCTTCATAGAGCTCAATCGATACGCGATCATTATTTCATGCAAGATTCTATTATTAGTACTTTTGTTCTTGTATTTCTTACCTACTGCTGCATCCTGCTACTTTCCTTCCTCTCACCGCGACGCGACAATTTCGTTCCTAATGCACCACACCCTAGAAGGATCGATCGAGTTCAGAAAGCCGTCTCATTTGCTTTACATTATATAATTCATGTGTATCTTATTCGTGTTTGAACGCATGTATGTATGTGTGCATCAGTGTATGTGTGTATGTTGTTGTATGCGTGCGTGTACATACGTATGTACAGTACAGTAGTGCTCAAACGTCTTCGGCAAAATGCTTCTTCTGTCGTACCTTACAGTCGTAACTCCTTTTCCTGTACTGTAGGCCGGGATCATTGATTCCGCGGTTCTCATTCTGAGGCGAAACAATCCTCCACTGTGGAGAGCAAGTAGAATCAAGCTACTCTAATTAAAAGTTTTTATGGCTTTCATGGCTTAATAGCGAGATAATGAACTGGTGCAACAGGTGTACAGATCAGCCCTCCCAATCGGACGTACGCTCGATTTGAATTGAGCGTTCCGAGATTTCGTTGGTCCGGCGTGTTTCCCCAAGGATTCAACTTCACACTATCATATGTACATAATTAGCAGAGATGTTTGACATCAAGCAAGAGACATAGGGCATGACAGTTAATGAGCTCTCAACCTCTTACAATATAAAGTTAAAGTACTTTTTTCAAGGAGCAGTATATTCTGTGCCACGAAGCCGTTCGGCAACTCATCCGCCATGGCATCACGCGAGTTCACGCTGACCTCTTTCAAAGGTGAGCAAGTATGATTGATGTAATATGCAGAAAACCGTCGACTACTATTCGTTACTGATCTTTTCGTTGAAAGTATCCTGTTAGAACGAGCGAACCTCAAATCAGCGAACACTCACATGTCAAAGCTAATACCAAGATTAGGATAAAGTCAATCTACTAAGACAATTTCAGATATCTCAACTACCTCGGTGAAGAAAATGTAAATGGAAAGACCAGGATGCAAATGCAGTATGAGGTAATTTTCTTACGATGATCCTGGGTCGAATTAAGAGCTGGATTGTCTTGGTTATTTTGACGGAGCAGTGGCTAAGCCAATGAGATGGCAACATTTGCACTTTGATGTGTGGACTTACGACTTTGGCAGTAAGACGTGGAAGGTCTAGGAAATGTATGACGGGAAGAACTGCATACATTATCACATGCTTTGATGACTAGCTTTTGTCCCTACAGCTCAATCGCTGTGCAATTATTACTTATGGCATGATCCTACTGCTAGTTCTTTTGTTCCTGTATTTCCTACTTGCTGCTGCACTCTGCTAGATTCCTTCGCGCGCGACGTCTCTTGCCGCGACGCGACATTTTCGTTCCAACTGCACCACACCCCAACTACGCAGATTGTAGGAGCCAGGTCTCGCTGCGTCTAGTATAGAACGGTGTTCCTGAAGGAACACCTAGTCGCTCAAAAAATTGAGACCACTTAGAAACGCATGAGAAACATTAGAGGAAAAAGTACTGACTGCGGCTCTTAAATGATTCGAAACGGGGGATTGCTTTGTTAAGTTGTGGTGCTACCACACTGAAAATTCTCAGCTGAACGTCGCCAGAATCTTTCGATTTTGAGCCTAATACTTTCTGTTTCAGGACCTCTGTGAGTGTCATCATGATCCCTCCTGTTCTCCACCTGTCGACTATGTAATACTGCCAGTGAGTGCAAAAAATGCTACAAAATGGAAAATACGTGTCTCACACGCTTTCCAAGTCCAACGTTTTTGCAGGGTTATCATAGAGCCGACGAATTCCTCGTAGCCAATTGGCCAAAAGAATGCGCGGAATTATGGCAGCTGATATGGTCGCAAAATTGCCAAACAGTTGTGTTACTGGGTAAGAATTGAATGCTTCAAAGCAATCCTTCATTTGAACATCGTTGCAATCATAACAAGAAGAGAGGGATTCGCAGGTGTTGAGCGACTCCTGAAATATCCCACGGTAAATCTATCCGCTCACTAAGGTTTCAGTGCTGCCAATTTCTTGCATTTGTAGCCCACAACACATATCAGTCCCACACTGACGGGATTATATAGCCAAACTGCTGTAGGTGTTTCCTAAGGTCACAGATGAGCTTTCCATATTGAAACTTACTGATATCGCTCAGTTACCTATTGATGTAACCCACTTTATAGGTCACGTGTTTAGTGGAGAGAGTGTCCCCGTGTCCATACAATAGCTCTTTTTCGAAAAATCACCGATTTTTGCTATCCATTTAGCCTGTGCTTGCGTATTCTGATAACACGGTATATGATGTTAAGGTGAAATCGATTACTGGACGGGTATGGATCAAGTGGACGACCTCACCATACAGCATGGGGAAAACTTTGTCCTCTTGCAAAATAAGGAAGATCAGGTAGGCTTCTGATTACATTTCTCCGAATGTAAAAGACGTGGTGTTTGGTGTTTAGATGGTTTAGTAGATATTTATGGCTAAGGTAATAACGTAGCAAAGAATTTAACAGTATTAGGTTGATCGAAAAGTCTTGACAGGATTTTTTTAGAAGTGCGGAATTTTCGATTTTTGACCTATATCCATGATCTATCATGTGATAGTTGTAGAACATTTTGAGAGCTTCTCTGCAAAAGGTATATAAGAGCGTTCGCCCACCCGAGTCTAAACACGATGTTAATCTCACGAGACTATCTAGTTGACATCCGCAGTTTTGCGACGAGACTGGGGTGTGCCCAATCAAGAGTCGTCGGTCGCGTTCAGACCCTCTGTTACAGGAAAGTACTGACTTGATGGATACTCCATGCCTTGACCGATATCATGCGGTACACCCTGGTATCCATTTGCCAGTCTCTCCCTCTTCGTCCACATCGCAAGGAGTTTCTGCAGGGCCTAGTCACTGGAGATGAAAGCTGGATCCTCTACGATGCTCACAAGCACCGCGCCGTCTCACGGAAACAGCCCCAGTGCAAGCCAAATCTAGCCTACACCCCAGGAAGTTTCTCCTTTGCTGCTTCTGCGATTCAAATGCTGTACTACGAATTGCTCAAGGGAAGCCACACCGTCACCGCTCTCTTTTACGCGGGCCAGTCGCAGAAACTTGCGGAAGCCGTTCGAGAAAAGCTGTCTAGACGAACTCCGGTGCACGTCCTCCATGACAACCCTATGCCTCACATAGGTAAAGGGACACGTGCCAAATTGGAGGGGCTAAGCTGAGACACCCTTCCACATCTACTCTGTTCACCTGGTATTTCTCCCTCAGGTTACCGCTTCTTCCAGCCCTTCAAGGCTTTCCTAGCAAAAAAAAAAAAAACAATTTGTCAACTACAACCACCTTGAACAAATGGCCGGTGACTTCTTTGACTCCCACTTCTGGGAGAAGGGAATCGCTGACTTCCCCGTTAGGTGGGGCACTGCTATAACTAACGATGGTTATTATATTGTTAATTAGCTTGCATTGCTGAGTTTTAAAATAAAACAGAAAAAATCTCAACCCTATCAAGACTTTTTGACCAACCTAAGGATATGAGTGCGGGGGTTATCGCAATAAAAATATAAAACAGTGGTGTTAATAAGCCTTTATCACTATCCGAAACCTACGTCTTGCCCTTGACGTTGTTCGGAGAAGAAGTGAGGTCCACGCTTTTTGAGGTCCTGCTTGAGCCGCACCTTTAGAGGTGTGGGTCAAGTTAAGGATTCGTCTGAGACAGTAAGAAGACAAGGTAGAGATATGGGATCGTTGCCGTAGACGACGATAATTGGTTTATTTTTATAAAGCATTGCCATAAAGGAATGCACCTGTACTCGGTACATTCTTCAGCAATCGGCACAATGCAACTTTGCTTGATGTACGCCTTTCTCAGTGCTCTTGCTATATTTATATGAACAATTTTTAGCTCTATGTGCGAATAGTGGTGGTATCCCGAGTTGCCCTGGAATCGGACTTCTGGGGCGAAGTCGAGCGGATACAGGAAGACCGGCTTGCCTACCACGACGCACCATTACTTGTTATCAATTCTATACGACCAGACACGGTAAACGACTAGAGATTCATCATTCAGCCCCTCATTCCTGATTGTTGAGAGTTACAGACATCTTCCTCCAGTCGGCACGTTTCCACGGATGGAGTCCATCCACTAGTGCCCAATAACATCACATCAACAAGCTCAACATTGTCGTTATCACTACTTTACAACAGTAGGTTATGTTCTTATATGTAGGATCTTTCAAAGAACCACGAATCTAAAGTGCCATTTCTAGGCGAACCTTCTCCTTCACTGGCTTACTGCCTTTGCGCACTTACCTCATTGGCTTGTCAACTGGAGCAGCAAGGATGCGTCGACGTTGTACTGTTGCTCGCCTCCTATTCCCATATCCATTGTGGACTATGGAATTCCAGGGTGAGTTTCGTGAACTAGTACTACACCCCTTTTCTCACTCGGGAATTGAATTTCTCTTGAAAGGATAGCATGCGGGAAAGAGAGCATTGCTCAGCCTCGTTCTCCTTGTGTTCATGGATTGTTTATTTATTTGTTAATGCGCACAGGGTGCGCCAACAACTTATCTGCAATGGGAGGGTGAATAAAAGCTTCGTAATGAAAAGAAAAGCAAGGCAAAAAATATATGCACGAATGCATCTTAAGTCAATATCATTCAGGAATCCTCAAAGCAATCTCGATCAAGTTGAGCACCTCCAAATTGGGAGTGAACCATGGGTACATAGCACTAGCTTGACAATCTAGCACTTTTTAGTTGAAATTCAAAAAAACAATGACCAGAATGAGTTCGTTCTCGGAAAGTTTTGGCTGTGCATAGAGCATGAGCTCAGCGTTCTCATTGACTTCTTCCCCTCTTCCAAGAAAACAAACCATGTACCTACCAATGCTGATCTTTGTAATAGCGATCAACCCTCCCAGTCAGCACTGACCCTGCCCCTTGTCGTACTCACTCTTGCGCATTTTGCAAGACACAATTGCCAGAGNGTGGCTTGAACCCGAACTGCCGGCCCCTTCGCCGAGCACGAGTAATTCGGACAATTTGTTGAACAGTAAATGAGGATTAATGAGAATTTTTCAGCAAGATATCGAGGTGATTTACGAAAAACTGGCAATCCTCGTCAACACTACAAGGGTATGAACAGCTTGCATCACTTTCCGTTGTTTAGAGCCGAATGTACAGATAATTGTTATTATTGTGATATTATTGTTGATAAGGTGAAAACATTTCAGTCCAACTGAGGCAATAAATAAAGATCTCAATATTTTTTCCTCGATCCTTCTAATTCAACGAAGATTCTATGTGACGCTATTATGAGTACCTCAAACTATTCTGATGAGGGGCCGGTCAAAAAGGCAACAGTACTATCAATTGGGGCTGTTCGTTTTCGTATAATTCACTCAAAGAAGTGCCTTTGAATGATCAGTTGTATCTTTTAGAAAGCGAGAATATGGCGGGGATTAATATAAATGATGCAAAATGAATGGTTTGTGCACTACTCGGTAAGGCCAGATTCACACAGTAAACGAAAAGTCGCAATTTAAACCGAGCAGATCAGATAAACGGTGAATTATCTGTAGATTGTATAAGAATACACTGGTCACTTCAAAACCCTCCTGAATCCTTACGGTCTGAAGCACATGTCAATTTGAAATGATCAAAGTTTGTTAGTGCAGAAAGCAAAACTATGTAGAGTAGATGGCATTGTCATTTGCGATCATATACAAGGTTGGGCAGTGGAGCTGGTATCCCTGCAGGTTCATCAACGAAAGGAATGTCGAGTGTGGTCAGGGAGCTAGCTTGGTGATCAAAGTGGCATCAGATGGTCTGCATTGATATTCCAGGCGAGTTTTTTCCAAGCAGCCCATCAAAAAATAGTAATAGGGGTCAACTAACGCAAGTAGTTGTATCGGCCGCACATGCATTTAATCCCTATGATTCTGAGGGGGTCGGATGCGAGAGGCGCATCCTTAGACGGGATTGATTAATGCCCGAAGGCTTAACCCTTTATCCTTAATAGGCATCAGTTTTAATTTAGGTATCTTGCCTGGGCCTGCCCCTGTCTCTCTGTCTGTCTGCCTATATGTGCGTCTGTTTGCTTCCTGAGTTCATTAAGTTCTGGCAAGCACCTGAAGGGAAATGAGCAAGATAAAGATAGGTGTGGCGTAAGGCAGAATCAAAGCACCTTTGGGCCGAACGTACACTGGTGTGCAAAACTTAGGGACGAGATGGATAATGTAACATAAAACATTGAGGACTGGGTGGAAATAAATGAAAGTGTGGGATTATATTGCCAGACCTATGACCGTTATGCACAGAGAGTTGGACATCCCT